CATCAGGACCAATCTCGACTGCCTGGGCACTAAGATCTTCATCTTTTGGAACTATTTGACATCTCCCCAGCTGTCTCAAAACCCGGTATGGGGCATAAGGCTGGATACTCCGAAGACCCATCAAGAGGAAATGAGGCCTGGTAGCTGGCATGTATATGATCTCATCTACAGGAAGCCATCCATACGTCCACTCTATTTGATTTGCAGTGATGGAACGGAGGTGTGATACCCATTCTGTGACCCCTTCTGGCAAGCTAATCCCATCAACCCTTGTATAAAATTCCTCTATGCAGTTTTTCTCTGTCGACCCATAACTCGTGAATTGAGGACTATGGCTAGATGTTCAATCATCCACATCTGCAGCAACAAGTTGCACCCCTCAAAAAAGTCTCCTCCGGCTTTGCAGGCTGTGAGAGCGCGGAAGATTTCAGCTACTATCATGGGTGCGAGGGTGTTTTTGGCCTGAGTAAGCAAAGTGCTGACAACCCCAGCTATTCGTATGTCGATATTTCCATCTTTCCTAGGAAACACCAGAAGTCCCAAGAAGACCACCATAAAAGCAAAACACCTGTGTTCTTCCCATTTGAGGCGATTCCCTTTGCTACAAATTTTGTTTTCTGGATTGTTAAACCCTCCTATGTGACCGTATCTCTGGTATAGAAACTGCGGAGTGGAAAAACCAGCTACCAAATCTGGGTTGTGGACCCCCCTGCTTATCTTTAAGGAGTCTAGGAATCTGTGCACAGCGTCGGCTCTTGGAGCAACCAAGTACATGTGTCTCAAAGGAACCTCAGCACTCCCAATATACCCGGCTATTTCTTCCAAAGTTGGGGTGAGTTCAAAATCTGAGAAATGAAACACGTTGTGGGCCGGGTCCTAGAATGTAACCAACGCCTTTATGATGTCTCCCCTAGGCCTAATCTTCAACAACCCGGTGAGACCTCCCAAATATTGATTGACCTTATCTTGCCCTAATTTACCCAAATCATACCACCACATATGCAACTCCAAAGGGATCTTGTTCATGACTGTTATTGGCAAATTTTGACTCGTGCTCATTCTGCACATTTATTAGGGTGATTAAGCAAAAATCATGATTCATTTGACTCAAAAACAAAGCTGACACTTTTTTTTCAGATTTTCATTTCAAAAGTAAAAACCCGGCTTTACAAATACGGCCTTTCAGCACTTCCGGGGGAAGATTTTAAGGCTATGCTCGCTAACCGGCCAAAAATTTGAAAACGAGACCAAATGCGGCTGTTCTTGCAAAAACAGCCTTCCGGCGTCCCTTTGGGACATTCGGCTATTTTGACAAGAATGGCATCACCTTACTTATTTACGACAAGGCAATAAAATTTTGGTTCTTTTTGGGTTATTTTTGCAAAAGGGAAGTTGGACCCGATAGAGGTTGCCTACGTATCCCACATCCGGTGGGAATCAAACTGGCGTAGTTCGGGCAATTTTGACAAAACAAAAACCAACTCTTTTTTTTCTTTTCCACAAAAAATTTCTTTTCTTCTTCTTTTTTTTCAAAATTTCGGCAGAGTTTCAGTATATTTTGGGACATTGGTTTTTCGAAAACAGACAATAATTTCTCCCAGTCCTCACATTGACTTTCCTTCTCTCAACTTTTCCTCTGTAAGCCGGTCAACATGCAAATCCGAAGCAAAAGAATGCACAAGTAGCAAGTAAGATGCATCAGGATGGTCTTTTCATTTCGGGTACACCTGTCCTAGACAGACCCAACCCCTGTGTTGAGTCTCCAAAGTCAAATGCACATGATGCAAACAAACGTTCCTACTAGGGATCCTGCATGAGGTTGAGTTATTCTAAGTTCAAAACCTGGGTATGTGTTCTAGACTGTGTACCCGAGCAGACAACTCGAGCCAAGGAGGGGGCTACGTACCGGGAACCAAAAGGCCATCCGGCTTAGTAACTTGTTCGAGCCTCTTTCTTATTTCAAGGTATGACACTAACAGAATAGGGAGTCTCGACCAGCGAGCACATCCCTAAAGATGAGAAGAGAAGGGTTTCATAGCAGTTTATATACAGTTCAGATAATATCAAAGCGGTAAAAGCATCATTTAGCACATTAGGCCCAAACATATAATAAAATCAGATAACAGATAAAGCCAAAATATAACAATTCATCTAAGCTCGAATTCTGAACCCTGAACCAGAGATTCTGGGTTCTTATCCCCAGCAGAGTCGCCAGAGCTGTCACACCTCCTTTTTACTACACCCCCGGGAGGGAGTATTAAGGGAGTTTTTCCAATTAAAGTGACAATCGAAACGGGATTTATTTATTTAAAGATTCAGAGTCGCCACTTGGGATAATTTTAGGGTGTCCCAAGTCACCGGTTCAAATCCCGAATCGAGAAAAAGATTGACTCTATTTTACATTCCGCGAACACAGAAATCCGGGTAAGGAATTCTGTTAACCCGGGAGAAGGTGTTAGGCATTTCCGGGTTTTGTGGTTCTAGCACGGTCGCTCAACTGTTATTATTGGCCTATTTATCTGATTTTAAAACACTTTTAAACCTATGTGCATTTTAACCTTTAACCGCTTTTATTCATTTTTAAGGAAGATTGCACCGTCATTTAAAATATGTCTTGAACCACGTCACATAAATGCACCCGCAGTCCGCAACACATTTTATCTAACAAAAAATTGACCATAATTTCAAACCAAACTTTTAAACCACCAAACTCAAACCATTTCAGCTCAGATAGATCAGAAATTATTTCAGGAATTAGAAACTGAAGAAATCTCAGAAAAAGTTCAATGAAACAGTAATTCCCACTCAAATTTTATCGGTCTCTATTTTTTTTGAATTTTATCTCTTAAACTCTGCCTTGAAAGGCAAGATAGAGATGCCTTTATAGGCAAGGAAAGTAGGGCAACTAGCAGATTTCAGTTTTTGCATTTCTGCCATTTTCTAATTTTTGTTTTAGCTGAAAAGTCCTTAGTTAAAAATCAGTATTGCAAACAATCCCCCTCCCCATCTTCCTAGAACCCCAGGCAGTTACAACAAGATTCCCTCAACCAATTACCCCAAATTACCCCTCAGACCTCTGATATTTACCCTCCCAACCTAAACCAACTATGGGTCATAAGTCTGCAGACCCAAACTAAATCCCCATCTGGGCTAATCCCTTCCCCTTTGGACCCAATGCTAATTCAAAAACCCAAACAAAAGAACTAACAGCAGAACCAACAATAACAAAAGAAAATTTTTGGGCTCAAACGGATTGTAAGCCCGAAGAACATTTCAACAATTAACAAATTAAGCTAAATGACCTACTAGTTAGAATTTAACCAAACCGACCAAAACAATTTCATAATTAACCAAGCAGGACCAAATGAAAAACAGAAATAAAAAAAGAATCAGGAAGAGAAGAAGAAATAGAGAAATGGAGGGAGAGAAAGAAACCTAGCTTAAACTGAAAAGACGAAAGAAAATACCTACTGAGACTCGAGCAATTGAGGAATGGAGCTTGGACCTTCAACTTCTCGGATTTTCCGGCCAACTATGATATTAATCGTGTGTTCCTAATAAGAACACACGAATAACATCAAAATAAGCCCGAATCTTCCAAACAAACTCGAATCAGGAGCTTTTGGAATTAGGGTTGTGATTTAGATTTGATATTTGAGGAGTTCAGGGGTGATTTGAAGGAAGCTGGCTATGGATTAGGGAAGAGGGGGTTGTGGTGGTCAAGGGGTGTTATTTTGGAGGGAGTTGGGACCGGCACCGCCACCGGAGAAAGTTATGGCGGTGCTAGGGTTTCTAAGAATTGAGGCGTTCTGGTGGTATTTGAGGAAAGGCGATTGGATATTTAGGATGGGGTGGTGGAGAGGATTCGAGGTGTATTTTTGGGGGTGATTGGCGGAGGCGCCGCCGGTGGAGGGTGGTGGGAAAAGGGCGGCGGGCTAGGGTTCCAATACAGTCTCTGAGAGAGAGTGAATTGAGAGAGACGAGTGACGGGGGGAGGGGGGGGTGAGGGGATTAGGAAAGATTTATATCAAATGGACCCCCACTTCGCGACCGTTGGATTACTAAACCTCGACGGCTCAGATCTGATCTAACCTAAACGGGGTCGTTTTGGTTGGGGGATGGGTTGGACCGGTTTGGATGGGTATGGGCTGGGTCTAGCCGGGTTTTGGGAGGGGAAATTCATTTGGGCTTGGAATTTTATTTAAAACATGCCCAAAAACTCTAATCTCGTCAATTCCTTTTTCTTTTTCCAAATTAATTCTTTTTATTTCAAACTCTATCTCTCTCTTTTTTTAAATTAATTTTCTAAAATAAAAACTCAAGTAAAACCCAAACAATATCCTAAATTAAATCAATCCTAACACATTAAGTTAATTAATTCTAATTTTAACCAAATTAAGCGAAAAAACCATCAAAATTCAAGGATTAAAAATAAAAGTGCAAAAATACCATTTTTTTGTGATTTTCCCATTCTTATAAAATAACTAATTTACTACTTAATTCCAAAACACAAAGTTAGATCCTAAATGCAAATGCAACATATTTTTGTATTTTTCATTAATTAAATAAAATAACATGCACAGACAAATGCAAGCACTTGACAGAAAATGCCACAAAAATCCACCAAATTGCAAACAATGAAGAAATTATTTTGTTTTGAATTTTTGGGAGTAATTCATATAGGGCAAAAATCACGTGCTCACAGTGGCGACTCTTCAAAAAAAATTCAAATACCCAATTCAAAAAAGGAAACGAGTTGTTCCCCCATGAATGTCGAAACCCGGACTCCGCGAGGAAAACGGGGGCGCGACAGTCATTATTTGTATGGGGTCCATGTGGATGTGTTTTCGGACCACAAGATCCTTCAATATATCTTCAAACAGAAGGAGCTAAATCTGAGGCAGAGAAAATGTCTTGAGTTACTCAAGGACTACGACATCGATATTTTATATCATCCGCGGAAAGCCAATGTTGTGGCGGATGCTCTTAGCTGGAAGTCTATGGGAAGTTTGGCTCACTTGGAGGCATATCAAAGGTCGTTGGCCTGGGAGGTTCACCGATTGGCTAGTTTGGGAGTTCGTCTTGCGGACTCTAAAGAAGGTGGGGTGGTTGTGCAGAATAGGACTGAACCATTGCTTGTGATGGAGGTCAAAGAAAAGCAGTACAACGATCCATTGTTGGTACAATTAAAGGAGGGAATTCATAAACATAAGACCGCAGTTTTTTCTCTTGGCGTGGATGATGGTACACTACGGTACCAAGGGCGACTATGTGTTCCAAATGTAAATGGTCTTCGGGAAAGAATCATGGCTGAAGCTCACACTTCTAGGTATTCCGTGCACCCAGGTTCTATGAAAATGCATCTTGATCTCAAGGAAATCTATTGGTGGAATGACATGAAGAGGAATGTGGCGGACTTTATGGCAAAATGTCCAAACTGTCAGCAAGTGAAGTCCGAGCATCAAAGGCCCGGTGGGTTGGCACAGAACATAGAATTTCCAATGTGGAAGTGGGAAATGATTAACATGGACTTTGTGGTAGGCCTACCGCAGGTTTGAATCAATTTGGGTAATTGTGGATTGGCTCACAAAATCAGCACACTTCTTGCCAGTTAAATCTACCGACACAGCGGAACAGTATACTCAGTTATATATCAAGGAAATAGTCAGGCTTCATGGCACTCCAGTTTCCATCATATCCGATTAAGGGGCTCAGTTCGCGACCAATTTTTGGAAGAAATTTCAGCAAGGTTTGGGCACCTAGGTAAATCTTAGCACAACCTTCCATCCACAGACCAACGGGCAAGCAGAGCGGACTATTTAGACGCTTGAGAACATGTTGCGTGCTTGTGTTCTTGATTTCAAAGGTAGCTGGGATGATCATTTTCCACTCATAGAGTTTTCTTATAACAATAACTATCATGCTAGTATTCAGATGGCACCATTTGAGGCGCTATATGGTAGGAGATGTAGATCTCCCATTGGGTGGTTCGAGATTGGGGAAGCTGAATTGATAGGGCCAGACCTCGTGCATCAAGCTATGGAAAATGTTAAGATCATAAAGGAGCGGTTGAAAACTACCCAGAGCCATCAAAAGTCCTATTCGGATGTTTGTCGAAGATATTTAGAGTCCAAAGAAGATGATTGGGTATTCTTGAAGGTTTCCCCCAGGAAGGGTATAATACGGTTTGGGAAGCAAGGGAAATTAAGTCCGAGATATGTCGGACCATACAGAATCATTTAGAGGATCGGTCAGGTGGCATACAAACTTGAGCTACCACCCGAGATGTCATTAGTACACCCGGTATTCCATGTGTCCATGTTGAAGAAGGTAGTTGGAGATCCTTCGCCTATCATGTCAGTTGAGACTATTGAAGCTAATGAAGAACTGTCATATGAAGAAATTCCAGTTGCCATTCTTGATAGGCAAGTTCGAAAGTTGAGAAACCAAGAAATTGCCTCCGTGAAAGTGCTATGGCGAAACTAGCAGGTTGAAGAGGCTACTTGGGAAGCCGAGGAAGAAATGAAAAAGAAGTACCCTCATTTGTTTGAGTAGGCATGTAATAGTTTCTACGAAGTTGTTTCCTATAAATTTTGTATCACTTGTTCAGTTAATGTGAAGGTGTTCCTTTTGATTATATGTTGGTTATGAGGCTACAGTTGGTATTGTTATGAGTTTTGTTACGTCGTTGGGTTGTGAATATACTTTTAAGATGTGTTTCTGGGGCTCTCTGACAGGTGGATAGGCCTAGTTAAAAAGGAAACTCTGGCGAAATTTTTAGAAATTTAGGGAGTTAGCTAAATTTGGGGCTGCTGGTGTGTGGTATGAAAACCGAGCTGCATAAGTTGCTAGTAGTGGACCTTGATCCTCATTCGAGGACGAATGATCTTAAGTAGGGAGGATGTAAGGCCCCGTAAAATTTTATGCTTAAAACCCCAGAATTTCGTGGTGCCGAGTTAGGATTATTGATGTTCGACTATAATTCCATATTTTAGGACATTATTTACCTTACATATTAAGTGCTTTAATGCTAAACTATACAATATTTGGGCTTAATTGAGTTATTTTATGTGTAGGTACGTTGAAGACGAAATTGGGATCAAAGTAAAGATTTTATATGTATTTTATACACTACAAGAATGGCTCGTGATTATTTGATGATGGAAAATATTATAATGTCATGATTGGGTGATGATTGAAGACAAAATTTGTAAATGATCCAAGTGAGCAAATCAAAGGAAAGCAAAATAAAACAAGCAAAGGAATTGAAATCAAAAATAAGAAGAAACGAAAAAGAAAACGTGAAAGGATGGGAAAATAGGCAGAAGAAATCAAAATGAATTGAAGCAGAGAAGCATCAGGCGACGCGAGCCAAAAATCTCGCGTTAGAGCAGGTGCCGCAGGCCTAACGCACGGTATGTCGCGTGTTTCGGGTTTTAAGCCTATTTTGTCTCCTATTTGATTTTGGGACTTGGTTATTTCGTCTAGGTTTTTTCCCTACACATATAAATAGTCAGTAAAACACTAATTTTGAGAGAGAGAGACAGAGATTGGACAGGGAGACCGACATTAGACGGAGATTCGACCTAAGGAGGCAAGAACACACTAGGAGCAAGGCGGAGAATTCTTCTACGAGTTTTTCACTTCCTTCTTCCTATTTCTATTATTGGTTATGAATTCTGGTATTGTAATTTTGCATACTATTATGAATAACTAATTTATTATCTAGGGTTTTGATGGAACCTATTGAAGGAGGATTTTCTTGTTACGTTAATATAGTTTTGCCGTAGTAATTTCTCTAATTGTTCAACTACGTTTATATTGTGGTTGGTTGAAGAGCTCTCAATCGACTGTGCCTATTTAGTGTGTATTACTCGGGAGAGAGTGCATATTTAGGTAGTTGTTGAACAACATCACTCCTAACGTATATGAGGGATCAATACGAAGGGTTTAAAGGTGGGATTAGGGATAACGAAACCTTAGTGCGAACCGAGTGAGCCGTACTTAATGCCAGCTAGCATAATTCGGGAGAATATGTCTAGTAAATTGTGGTAATTACTCGGGAGAGAGTTACGACAGTCAGAGTGCTCATGATCGGTAGAGAAAACTTAGGCAAATTTATAGAAGACGTAGCGGAAAGGATTCTGACAATAGGAGAAATCACAACTCTAGACCTCCGTAATCTTGTCTCCAATCCTTATCCTTGTTAATTGATAGTTTTACTATTTTCTAGTATTTGTTAGTTAATTAGATAACAATAAACATTATAATATTTATAATTAGGAAATTGTTTGGACTTGTGTTTCTTAGCGATATTGAACAACTGTAACTAAGCCTTAGTTCTTTGTGGGATTTGACTCCGGACTTTTAGACCGGATTATATTTGCAGCGACCGCTTAGTCCTTTTTATAAGGCATAGTTGGGCGGGATCAAATTTTGCCGCCGTTGCCGGGGAACTAACGGTGTAGTTGTAGGTGTACATATTTCTAGGTTGCAAATTTGAACTTTTATTGTTGTTTTCTTGTATTTGATTTTTTTTTTTTTTGATCTGAGAGACATGGCGTCTTGGAATTATGAGAGTTTTGATGTTGGTAATTCTACTTTTGATCCCTCTTATGCATATTGTGGAGGAAACCACCCAGGGCAAAATTATCAAAATATTCCCAAGAGTGAGTTTTGTGCACCAACTCAATCTTATGTGTGGAATATGTGTGATATGTGTGGTTGTCAAGATGGTCACTTTCATGGTTGTGCTTATATTTCTTATCTTCCCCCAACCCCTTACTATGATGGTTCTACTTTTTCTTGTGAGGATAACAGGAACAAAGAACCTAGGGAAGCTGGTCTAAAGGAGATCAAAGTTATATTAAAGTGCCATGTGGAACGATATGATGAGAAACCATGGCAGATACAAAGGCAAGAGGAAACTATTCACGACTTGGAGACTCAAGCGAATAAAATTGAACCTTGTAAAGCGCAACAAGTTGACATTGTGGATGGTAGCCAATATGAGCATGAATTGGCTGCAAAAATTGCCATTATACTAGAGAATTTAAAAAAAATACGAAGAGGGGCTAGAGGAGAAAGCTAGAGTAGAACACCAACAATCAATCGAACTAGATTTTGAGGATGCCGATGTCGTAGAAGAGATACTAGAGTCAACCAAGGATATTGAGGATACATATTTAGTTGACTCTAGTGTCATTGATACTGAGGATGTTGACAATCCCAATGTTCATGTAGTAGAGCGCATTGGTCCACACTCCAAGCATTTGTCCACATTGTTTTGGATGATGATATAGAAATAGAGTCATCCGAGCCACTTGAGGAGTCAAGAGATGAGGAACAACGTGCTTACATTCTGGAATTCTTCTTGCCAGAATGCCGGGATTACACACCTCATCTAAAGGCCAAGAAGTGCAAAATAATACATTATTTTATTGGGCCAGTCAGATTCGTTCCACCACCCCAAGAGCATGATCATAGAGCAGAATCAAAACTTGGGGTCCAATTCATATGCTCAAAGTGGAGGCAGAAAGTGATTTGCGTCGTGCCGCGACGTTAAATCAAGCGCTTGTTGGGAGGAAACCCAGCTTTACTGCTTTCTTTTATTTTTTTATTTTTATTTTTTTATTGTATTATTTTTGTGGTGTGGATTTTTGATTTTTTTAGGAGCATGGAAAGCAAAACTATTGGAAGGATGAAACATCAAACCAGATGGTAGGAACTAAGTGTGAGGTACCCGCACGAAGGACCAAGCTTGGGAGAAGTCTAAGTACCTCATGAGCTGCTAGTGCTTCGGCCTTTGGCCTACCAGGGAGTTTCTTTTACCCTCTTATTAGTTATGGTGTGCATAGGGGACAATGCACAACTTTAAGTGTGGGGTGAGGAGATTGTCTAGGTGACATTATATGCTATTTTTCCTGTGTTAGTTTAATTGAATAATATTTTTTTTAGGAAAAAAAAATATTGGACTTTTCCCGATGATGGATCTATTAGACAATTTTCTTGAGGGATTTAAGTCTAAAAAAAGGATTTTCTTTGTAGGTAGTGTAGTAATTCCCCCTTGGTTTTTCTTTGTGCCGCGGTTCTTTTCCAAGGGTCTTGTTTGAACCGGGTGTAGTTAGTTTTATTTTTTAGGAGTGGGAGCTAGTGTGAGACGAATTGAATTGCAGCGATATCTCTTAACTTTGTTATGCATTGAGAATAGTAAGTACTCTAGTTGTGACGCTTAGGCTCAGTTTTTTACTTTTGTATAAGTACCTTAAATTGTATGATTTTAAATTTGTTTAACTGCTTTGACTAGAGTGTCGTGATGAGTCCAATCCTGAGTGAGTTGTGTGTCATGTGTGTGTAAGGTTTTGTGTTATTCTATGCATTGCATTTGATGTCTAGAACTTGCCCGTGTGTTTGTGAAGCGAAATAGTAGTTTTGTTCAGTCTTGGAAGTGATATAGGCGTTTCTTTGTTGAGCCATATATGTATTTTACCCGCCTAATTGTTATGTATCGTAGTTAACCCCTTTGAGCCTGTAATCATATTTCTGTGGCAACCACATTACAAGCCTTACCCATTTATTTGATTTTACCATCTATTTGAATCTTTTAACCTCTCATGAGCACTTGAATTGTTATGAACTCTGTAAAAGTTAAAGTGTGGGGTAGTTGGTTTGGCTTTTGAGTGGAACTATTGAAATAAGGAGAAAGGTGCACTGTTTTGAAAAAAAAATAGAAGCCACTTGAATTGAAAAAGAAAGAAAAGAAAAAAATTGTTGTATTGCTGTGAAAAAAAATATTCCTTGCTAAGTGGTGACTCTTGATGTAATTGTGCTTGAAGAAGTATGGAGTTAATATACATTGAGGTGAAGGTGAAGTTATGGTTTGACTTAAGTGTGAGGTTTGAATGTTAAAGTATATGTATTAAAGTGCTTAGGGAGGTGTAGTCACTCTTATATCCAAAAATATCCTACTCGACCCGCAACCTACATTACAACTAATTAAAGTCATACTTGATCCTAGACTGAATGAGCTCGATTAGTAGAGTAGTACACTACGGGCAAGCCTATGGTGCATCTTTTGGTAGCATATGAATATTATTTCTGAGAGTGAGTGAATTCTTTCTATCTTGAGTTCCTAATTGTTCTTAAATTTTATTGTGTGTGGAACTACTCTCTTTTGTATTGTGAGGGCACTTGATTCATGAAGGAAAGGTAATGTCATTGACCTCCATGTTAGAGTAAGTGAGTGAGTTGTGAATGATTCATGGTACTTGCAAGTCAAATCTTGAGGTGAAGATGTTACACCCTTGTGCTTAGTCTATTTTAAAGATTCTTGGTGTGATGAGTTAAAAGAATTGCTTAAAAAGCTCGTGTCTATAAGTGTAGTTTGATTGCTCGAGGACGAGCAACGTTGTAGTGTGGGGTATTGATGTTCGACAATAATTCCATATTTTAGGACATTATTTACCTTACATTTTAAGTGCTTTAATGCTAAACTATACTATATTTGGGCTTAATTGAGTTATTTTATGTGTAGGTACGTTGAAGACGAAATTGGGATCAAAGTAAAGATTATATGTGTATTTTATATACTAGAAGAATGGCTCGTGATTATTTGATGATGGAAAATATTATGATGTCATGATTGGGTGATGATTGAAGACAAAATTTGTAAATGATGAGCAAATTAAAGGAAGGCAAAATAAAACAAGCAAAGGAATTGAAATAAAAAATAAGAAGAAAACGGAAAAGAAAACGTGAAAGGATGGGAAAGTAGGCAGAAGAAATCAAAATGAATTGAAGCAGAGAAGCATCAGGCGACGCGAGCCAAAAATCTCGCGTTAGAGCAGGCGCCGTAAGCCTAACGCACGGTCTGTCGCGTGTTTCGTGTTTTAAGCCTATTTTGTCTCCTATTTGGTTTTTGGGACTTGGTTATTCGTCTTAGCTTTTTCCCTACACATATAAATAGTCATTAAACACCAATTTTGAGAGAGAGATAGAGATTGGACAGGGAGACCGACATTAGACGGATATTCGACCTAAGGAGGCAAGAACACACCAGGAGCAAGGCGGATAATTCTTCTACGAGTTTTTCACTTCCTTCTTCCTATTTTCATTATTGGTTATGAATTCTGGTATTGTAGTTTTGCATACTATTATGAATAACTAATTTGTTATCTAGGGTTTTGATGGAACCTATTGGAGGATGATTTTCCTGTTACGTTAATATAGTTCTGCCGTAGTAATTTCTCTAATTGTTCAACTACATTTATATTGTGGTTGGTTGAAGAGCTCTCAATCGACTTTGCCTATTTAGTGTGTATTACTCGGGAGAGAGTGCATATTTAGGTTGTTGTTGAACAACATCACTCCTAACGTATATGAGGGATCAATACGAAGGGTTTAAAGGTGGGATTAGGGATAACGAAACCTTGGTGTGATCCGAGTGAGCCGCACTTAATGCCAGCTAGCATAATTCGGGAGAATATGTCTAGTAAATTATGGTAATTACTCGGGAGAGAGTTACGACAATCAAAGTGCTCATGATCGGTAGAGAAGACTTAGGCAAATTTATAGAAGACGTAGCGGAAAGGATTCCGACAATATGAGAAAACATGACCCTAGACCTCCGTAATCTTGTCTCCAATCCTTATCCTTGTTAATTGATAGTTTTACTGTTTTCTAGTATTTGTTAGTTAATTAGATGAAAATAAATATTATAATATTTATACTTAGGAAATTGTTTGAACTTGTGTTTCTTAGCGATATTGAACAACTGTAGCTAAGCCTTAGTTCTTTGTGTGATTCGACTCCGGACTTTTAGATCGGATTATATTTGCAGCGACCGCTTAGTCCTTTTTATAAGGCATAGTTGGGCGTGATCACTTATGTGTTACTGCGGCCCACTATGCGGTTGCAGAATCACTCTGCCGGCCACAGAGTGAGGCAGTCATTGGGCCATTTTTATGTCACTTTTCGGCCAATTATGCGACCGCAGAACCATTTCGCGGGCCGCACTTTGGTCGCATAATCGTCCTTGAACTTTTGTGGAGGGAGGTTCTGCGGCGCATTATACGACTGCAGAACAGGCCTGCGAGCCGCATAACGGCCGCAGAGTGAAGCAGACCAGCCCAGTACCTAGGGCCACTTTTCGTGGTCATTTCGCGGACTGCATAACCATTATGATGTCGCATAGACGACTGCAGAACTTGTTCCAGAGCTTCATTTTTGGTGTTTTAAAACCCGACCCAACCTCGTTAAAATATATGTAAGGGGCCATTTTGAGCTAATTTTTTGATATCTTTAGAGTGAGAAAGAAAGTCCTAGAGGGAGAAAGTGTTCTTCATAAAAAAATTCTCTTTAATTCTTGCTTAAACCTAGAAGATTATCAAGAGAGGCACCTAGGTCTTCTTCCAAAGAGGTAGGATTCTACCACCCAAACTCCTAATTTCAAAATGTAACTAGAATGGGCCATTAGTAAGGTAATTCATTGGGATGTGAGTGCTTACCTTGCATGCATGTATTCTTAAGGTATGTGGGGAGGTTGTGAGTAAAGATGGAAAAGAATGGGGTGTGCGTTGGTGTAGTCTTTCATAAAAAGGGCCATGAAACCTACACATAGTGTTTGATAAAATGCTCAAGTGAGCTAGAATCATGATCGCTTTCCTAATTTTTGGTTCGATTTTGCTATATTATAAAAATAGATTGAATTCGCTTATATTCCGGAGCATCTTAAAGTTTAAAGGAGCTCAATCGAGGTATGTATGGCTAAAATCCCCTCTTCTTAGAATTAAACCCCATGGTGCTCATGTAATCGGTGTAAGTCCCAAATTGATCATTATAGAATTGCTATTCCAAATGTGCTTCTGTTGAAAAATATATGTGCACTATGTATTCCAAGGCTTTCATAATGCTATATTATTACTTGAGAATGTGTTCAAAGTATGGACTGTGTGTCACAAAAAAGTTAAGACTTTAAGTCAAGTTTGAATGAAGATTGTTATGCTCAATTGTGTGAGGAGTCTCTATGTGCCTTAGATTCTGAATTGCTCTCATGTGAAAACAAAGTCTTGTTATTGTTGATGATAAAAAATGGTGGGATGTGGAAAGGAACTTGAATTATGAAATGCGGCCAAGAGCCAAGTATGAAATGAGATAATTGATAGAAAATGGTAATGTCTAGGGAAAGATAGCCTAACCGATCGGGCCGTGATCGGATGTCATGCCGCACACATGGTGGCGACTGTGTTGAAAAATTGAAACTGGAAATTGAAATTGAAATTGAATTGTGGTTGATGTCTCAAAAGAGAGGGCCTAGCCGATCGGGTCATGATCGGACTCCGTATAAGAATACGGTGGTATTGTGAATGATGGTATATTGGTACTAAAGACCTCCCAACCAAAAGTCGTGGAAATTACTTTAAAGCTTATGTGACTCTTAATTTGATGATATGGTACTGTTTAATGCTTCTATTGATTTCGTGATTATTCCTTCTTGTATTATTGTTCATTCTAATGAGATGGTGTTTAGTTATACATACTAGTGCTATTCGACGGCACTAACGTCCCTTTTGCCGGGGGCGCTGTATCTTTAATTGATATAGGTGGTTCCATAGCAGGCGGCATCGATTAGTGCTAGCGGCATCCTCCTCCCTGCATTCTTGGTGAGCCCCAATTCATTTCGGGGTCATACATCTTTTGTTCCTTATGTATTGCACCTGAGGTATAGCCGGAGCCTTGTTACCGGCACTTTTATTCTTTTGTATCTATTTAGTGGCTCCGTATACATTATGTGGGTTGTATATGGGTGCTGGGAAAGTCAAACGAAATATTATTGTGTTTGAATCATTTAATCCACTTCATGTTATGAAAAAATGTATATTTTGGAGGCACCAACTAATGAAGCAACTAATGAATTGTGTTCATGATCTCCCTATTACTTAGTTAATGAAAATATGTCTTCTCTTAATGCGTGAGCGAGTTGGGTAGAAAGAATCTGATAGGCTTGCTCAGTCGGGTTCACTCGGTTGAATGCCGGTCGCGCTCCCCGAGTTTAGGGCGTGACAATAGGAAGCTGTGGAGATCAAGTATTAGGATTTTAGGTTAGGAGGTAGTTGAGTCTTTCCTTACGTCGTACCTTTGTGAGGCTAGTCTGGTAGGTTTTTGTCGAAGTTAGTTAGTGGCAACGCTGCGTCTTACTACTCTTTCGTTTTCAATAGTGCCGGGGCTATGTATTATCTATCGATTTTGCTTTGCATCTATTTTCCCTCTTTCACAGTGCTATTTTTCTTATAGTTTCTATTGATGGTACTGATATTGTCTCTTTTCGTCTTCTTGAGCTGAGGGTCTTTCAAAAACAACCTCTCTACTCCCTCGGGGTAGGGGTAAGGTCTTCGTACACACTACCCTCCCCAACCCCACTAGTGGGATTTTACTAGATCGTCGTCGTCGTCGTTGTTGCTGTTGTTGCACAACTAATCATCATGCATTAAATTGGTGCTAATGTAATGATTTTGCATGTATTGGGGGAGTATTCAGAAATAGTTGGGGAGACTGGATTTTGGGCTTCATGAGGGGGCTCCCAAACACTGATAGTCTTAGGGCCGAGATCCAAGCCCTATGGTTGGGGCAAAAAATAGCTCTAGATCAAGGCTTGCCACCTATTTGAGATTGACACTGACTCTGAAGCGATGTTGGAAATGTTAAAACATGGCAACTTAACTCACAACTCCATAATTTCTGAATGCAGGTTGCTGATGGAGCAGTTGGGGAACACAGTCATAGGCCATAACTATAGGGAGCAGAATCAAGTGGTGGATCTCCTCGCAAAGGAAGGAGCTAGGAAGGAAGTTTTTGACAAGACCCAACTTTTGGCAGTTCCTCCGGTGTTTGCGAATGATGCAGTTTGGGCAGACATCCTAAAAAACTATTTTTGAAAGAAAAATCAATATCTGTAGTAGGGGTACATTGGTAGAAGTTGATGACAATCAACAGGCCTCATCCTCCCCTCATATTAATGTAATTTTGTGTATATATATAAGTATCCAATTAACCAGAGAAAATGATTTAGCATGTTCTATCTTATACTTCCTCCATGTCTGGTAATCATTATTCATCTCGTCAAAATCCAACTAAAAGAGAGATTCAATATAGAGGAGGTTAGAGTTCTGACTTTGTTTGGTTTTCCATGCAAATTGAACACTTGCAACAACAACAACAAACCTAGTATAATCCCACAATGAGGTATGGGAAGGGTAGTGTATACGCAGACCTTACCCCTACCTTGAAAGTAGAGAGGCTATTTCTGAAAGACTCCCCGAATCAAAAAAATATGGAAAAAAAGCAATAGCAACAAGCAGTAACAACAACAATATATTAAGAAACACTTACAAATAAGAATAATTATATTATATGGTTAAGCTTTATGCGAATAAGGAGGAGGATAAGGAGAAAGAGCATGGAGAAGAGAGGTCATTAGGTTAATTCTTCTGCTTGGGAAATGGAGGCTATATTTGCTAACGTTACAAAGAAAGGTACAAAATATAAATGGGATTTGTTCATCCATATACACTATTTGAAACTTTATTATCTTCAATGTCCATGTTTAGTTAATTACCCCGCATAAACAAGTTTTGTTTACAAAATATATATAATCCACCTTAAAAAAAACCCCAATCCATTATTTGTGCCTTCAATCAAGGGATGTAGTTACACCCTTTTTCTTTTCTCTCCTCTTTCCCTTTTCTCTCTTGATCTTCCATCCACTCTTGAATTTTTCGTGAAAATACCTTCTCGCCTGTAGGTAAAATCAACGAATAGCTAAGAAAAAGACACAAGAATGTTCAAAGAGATATCTTACATTACGTGGGTGGTTCTGTACGATGTCAACAACTTCTTGGTTACTTAGGTGTTCCCAGAGACCATCTGTACACGTACAACCAAAATTTTACCCCCAATACCTCCCCTCATTTTGTTGGAATATTACTCCAAAATTTTAAGGATGACATGTCTTTGGTATACTCTATAACTTAAGTTTCTCGTTTCAAAACAGTATGGAGTTAAGATAATCAACAAAATATTAAAAGAAAATAGGTGGCCAACTGTTTAATTAATACTCACTATATAGTATACCTATAGAGTGGAACGTAAGCCTTTAAAACTTTAACTTACAAGTATATTTAGTACTTACTGACGATATTCAGAAGAAATGGATACTTTTTGCTGGGGAATATGCAAGCACATCAGTATAACAAAGCTCTCATTTCCTCAGGATAGAGTTTTGAAAGTTGTTCATAATTCAGCAAAGATGATTATATACAACTACAATATCGTATCACTTAAATACAATTTTTTATACAAATTTTATGCAATATGTCTTTTGTATATTTTGTATTTGATTTATACACAGTAAAAATAAATTTCATACAACTAATTGTATATTATACAACTTATCTACAACTTTCACACATTATTTCTACCCAGTTAAATACAACTACAATAACATACAACTTAAATACAAATTTTATATAAAATTTATACAATATGTCTTTTGTATATTTTGTATCTGATTTATACATAGTAAAAATAAATTTCATACTACTAATTATATATTGTACAATTTATCTATAACTTATCTACAATTTTCTTACATTATTTCTACTCAGTTATATACAACTACAATATCATACAATTTAAATATAATTTTTATACAATATTGTTCCATCATTTTCTTTGGCATATTTGCTTTGCTTTGACATCATTTTCTGTTTTCTTCCAATTCTAACAAGTGTGATTTGGTTTGCAATGTAGAAGTAATAAAGTAGAACGAAATATCTATTGTAAAACATTGGGCTGTTTAGGGGTGTACATGGACCGGGTTAGTTTGATTTTTATCGAAATCAAATCAAACCCACTATATCGGTTTGGATTGGTTCGTTTTGTCGGGTTTTTCAGTTTTCGGGATTTTTTGTTAATTAAATATTATTTCAATCTTACTTTGTTAAATTTTTAATTAGTAAATATATGTTTAGTAAAAATATATAAAATTGACAAACATATTATCTATTAAAATATTTTTATGGGAGAGCTTTCTTAGTAGCACATAATAGTTACTCCATTTTTTCAGTCGTTTGACAATAATTTTTCGTTGATATACACTTCCAAGGTTAACCGAATTAGTAATTAAACATAAAAACCAAAATGATACCTAAATAATAATAATCACTTCACATTCGAAAAAGGTATAAGAATTTAATAGATCTTAACATATGATATGAATATAGACGAACAAAGAGATTGACGCATTTCAGTAACACTTAATGAGAAAATGATCATTTTACCTATTATTTAAGGTTAATAAATACGGAACACTTCATATTTTATTAAATATTATATCCCGCAAGAGAATCTTAAATATTTCTAAATATTTTTTAAAGAAAATTTTATATAAAATCTTAAAAGTATATATAAAATTATATATTTATATGTCGGTTTGGTTCGGTTTTTTTTATTCAATACCAAACAAAATCAAACCAAACCTGGTCGGGTTTTTTAATCGATTTGGTTTGACTTTCCAGTTTGATGCGGTTTTCCGATTTGATTTGTACACACCTAGTGATGTTGTATTCAAGATTGTGATATGATGAATTATCACAATCTAGTGATTGAAATATAGGTTTAATTAAGGGAAATGGGCAATATACCTCTCTACTTTCGGATATTGTCTAAATTTAACCTCTATTATATTTGTCAAATTTATCCCTACCGTTATACTATCCGGCCAAATTTACCCCTATCAGATCATTCACATACAAACAATTAGTGATCTTATACACCTTAAATCACTCAATCATAAAGCTCCTTTCACATTATCGCCTCATCATAAGTTTTATAACATTGTTATGCTGAAGACATAATATGTTGTACCATTTACTGAGGCCTTAACAATCTAACAAATACACACAATCTGTCCTGTAGTTCAACAGGAGAGAATACCTTAAACAAAAGGAGCAGATGGTATCTGATATCTCTTTTGTATATTCACTAACTTTTTTAAATACTTTTTGACGCCTCATGTCCATGACCAATTTTCGTACTTTCACAGTGCATATAACCATCCTCATGAATAATGTTTTTACATCATCCGCGGAATAGATATTACATATTTCTTGCTCTGCGTACAAGGACCTTCAATAGCATTTTCAAAACTGTCCAGTTTGTAGCATCTATTCGACTACTTTTAATGATACAGATACAAGCCAAGCCCAAAACGAGCACATGCTCTGCAAAATGCTATCTCCTCAGCAGCAGCAACCAGATCGGTGCTAGGGCCATTGCCTGGTGATACTGTCCCGGTTGATTCGCGGTGTGCCTATAATAATTTATCACATTAGCATAAAAAGTACAGAAAAAGGAGGAACCAATGTGACTACTGCAACACGAATTCAACAGCATAAATGTTTATTAAAACTTGAAGCTTTAGGTGCTAAATCGAACAGCATACAAATGAAAATGGAGAGCACACAAACATAGACCAAACTTGCACATTTTTCCAAAGAGTTAGCAAGATCAATTGTTCGTGTACGACTTAATAACCAATTACCATAATAAAGAGCTTTATCTTCTATATATCTTTCAGACAAAAATTAAGACAGGATGAGTAACAAGCTGAATTCAGAGCACCCTGGCAGACAGTGGGCACTGCCACGCCCAAACGGAGAAGGTGGTAAGGCAGTTTGGGAAGAGCTAGCACTGTGGCTCTGGAAACCTATGTCTGCCTCATAAAGGTCAATAATTTTGGAAGGATCTCAATTCATTATGCAATCAACAGAGCACGAAAGGGTTAGCAAATCAATGAAACACGGAAGGCCGCTGAAACCTACAGAGGTTCAAAGACAAGAGAGAAACTCTTGAGGAACAATACCAAGAGAAGGAGAAGATGGCATAGAGAAGAATAGCTGAGCTAACAAAGAAGAACTCGAATACTTCCTTCTAGTTCTTTTCTTGTATTTAATGTGGAGACATCTTTTTATTTTCTCTTTAGTTTGTTAAATGCTAGTATGGAAGAATTTTTTCTTTTCATGTTAGGGATAAATGGACTTGATACTTACGACTTGAGTTTTAGTTTTGATAAGTTTTGAGCATTTATTTTTCAAGAAGAGTGTCTCTTATTGACTTTAATGCTTTTTATGTGTTTAGCAAAGTGAGGTTTTGAAAATGAAGCTATCTAAAAACTTTTGAATAAATTGGTTCTTGAATGTGACCCCAACACTGAAGCTAACTATAAAGTATAAGGCCCTCCCATAAATTGATTAAGACAATCAAAAGGGGCCGTAGGATATTCGCGTGGTCAGTTAAAATCTCAACCAAAAGAGGATTAACTGACACGAATTCCACAGATACATATGCAACTTGAAGTGAACTAATCAAAATTTACGTTAAAAAATTCTATTCAACACAGTCAATTGACTCAAGTCTACCTGAAGGACATTAAGATACTATCCCCTGGAGGTTACTACTTCAAACTAATTTTGATAGATATAGTGACTATAAAATGTAGGAGAATTCCATCCCCTCATTTAGTCTATCAAAGGACCTTTCGAGGTTGTTAATAGCATAATACTTTTCCTTTTATTTAGCTTTGATCTAATACATCTCAACTCCCGTTGTTTAAATATATTACTCCATTTGCTAGTTTTACAAATCCTCATGGGAATGATTTTGTACTTTATTTTTTAGTTTGAGGGGGGCGTATGTTTTACATATCTGGTGCCCAAATACTATACCACTACATTCAGGTAGGAGCAACAGAAGCAAGCAAGGCCGTATTGGCTACACAATTATTTCCTTTATATGATTTGTAAGACTTGTAATCAATTCATATCAAGCCTCTTAGCTGGTGATATTCAAGCATAGCAGCATATTCAGAGATGGTAAA